AAAATTCCACAACTTTATTGCTTCTTTAATTGCGCGAAAAATCACACAACAAAAATCAGCAATTAAAATTTTTTTATTTCGTTTCTAATGTGCTTGAGATTGTTTGCTTGTTCATACACATTTTTAAACAAATCCATCTTATCCTCAAAATAATTAATTTTGTAATGATTTTCCACTTGAAATTATATAAAATTAGAGGAGTATAAATAAGAAAGGATTAGATAAGATACCTATGACTCTTCACACCGGCTATAACAGGCCATTATCTTCAGTACTTAAATCAAAATAAAACAATCTTAAGATTGTTGAGTTTTTCACGTATTTTACGTCAATGTTATAAAAAATTTCTTCCACATTAGTTGTTGAGAAATAAAATTTCCTGATATCTCGAATAGCAGTGATTGCAGTCGATGATATATTTATGATATTTAATCAGCCATCGAGTATTAACAAATTGTACAACTTTTTATAAATAAGTAAAACTTTTTTTTCAATCGCGATATCGCTTATCAACAACCTTTTAAAATAACTTGTATTCATTCTTATGGCATTAAAGGGATCGTCCATTAATGACGTTTATTTTTTTCAAAATTTTGGATTTTTAAAAATAATATTCAAGTTGTTTTGAGGCTTAGTGTTTAGAGTACTGAGCTAGTAATCAAAAGGTGTATAAGTTCAAACCTTAGTTGAACTTTTTTATATGCTCAACTTTTTAAAAAATTATTTAATAAACATGTCAATAAGGTTTGAAGGAATGAAATACTATGGGTCCTCGATTTGAGTAGATTCGATTTGAATAGGATTTTTCTGGAACAAAACATACTCAAATCGAGGATTCCCAGTAGACTCAATTGGCTCTTTTAAACTTTACCTAAAATCCAAAAAAAATCTTCCAAATTAAGCACAAAAATAACATCTGATAAAACTGATGGTCATATTGCAGTTAATTCCTCCAAAAAAGTACTATAGAAAGAACAAAGAAATTTTTTGTTAATTTCAACGATTATTTTACCAATTTATCCATCAATAATAAACATTTGACCCGCATACATCCAACTGACTTATTTTTTAAAACATTAAAAAGCAACATGAGCAATAATGAAGAGGAGGAAAAAAACAAAAGATGAGTCAACATGATCGAGACTTTTCATGGAAACAACAAAAGTTGAAATGAAATTATTTAATTAATTGAAATCACACAGTGAGATTGTGTTGTGTTGTGTTGTTTTTTTGGAGAGTGATAGCCTGCGATTGTTAATAGAATAAATGAATGATTTTTTATGCTTTGTCACCGCCAGCTTGTTGCCTTCTCCTAAGATTTTCTTTTTTTGCTTCTTAATTAAGAGCAATTGATTAATTAAAGCAAATATAAAAAGCGGAATTAACGACTAAAAAAATTGAAATTTTATCCACAAATGAGAAAAAGATGGAAATCTTTAACAATGTCGGAACGTAAATGGATAGTAGATTGAGCTGCAAAAGGGAATCAAATGTGTAGAGGGGACGAATTGAAATTAAATTGGAGATTTTTTTTTTCGAAATCATTTGAGGCAACATTTTATTATTTGTTTGAAGTAAAATTAAAAAGTTTAAATTGACTGATAGATGAATCTATAAAATAGAATTCAGATTGTTGGATTAGAACCCATAAACCTTGAAAACCCTAAAATTTGAAAAATGTCAAACAATCATAAAATAGTATGATTAATATTGAAAACAAAATAAACTCAACAAAAAATTTATAGGTTCAAATCCTACAATTGGTGAAATTGTTGCTCTCACATTCTTCAAGAAACTCAAAACCTTTTTTTTATTGAAAAATTTAGCAATTTTCAATCCTAATTCAGTAGTCAAGCACTATTCCACGGTCCATTACGTACTGCAAGCCATAAAACTTTAAGTAAACATTTTTCAGATTAGTACTAAACATTTGAAGGGGATTTTTGCCGCAACTGATAACAATTCAATCGCTAATTAACCCAAAATCATTCCCATTAATTTTAAAAGAGTCACCAAAAATTATAAATACCTGATCATGCATTAGGAGTGCCTTTAGAGCAGAGAATATCTTTCAATTACTTTTAATCTCTTTAAAGTTAATTGCCTAGATATTGTGGCTGGATAAAGGCTTCTTTTATGGATCAAGCTATCATTTATGACACCTAATTCCACTATAATTAGACATCAATTCCATTACTTGTTATCAGTGCCAACTGGAAAAATTTATATTTTTTTTATTGAATGTCGATAGGATAAATCCGTATCTTATCTCTGTTTTTATTTTCCCCAAAAAAAAAAATATTTTTTAACGAACCAAAAAGAATTAATACCAAAAGGAATAATAATGATGATATTGAGTCAATTAGCTTATGTGACATATATATCATTAAGATTATGAACGTTTCACAAATGTGATTTTTTCGCAATAAAATGTCAGTTGAGGGATGAGTAACAAAAGTTTGGTGGTTATGGATAGGACGCATTACTGGTTCTTTTATGAATGGTTTTTAAGATGATTGCTTGGGGGTCGTTCACTTTTTACGTTACCAGAAAAAACTACTTTTTTCACCCCCCTCCCCCCTTGTTACAATATGTTACAACTCACAACCCCCCCCCCCCTTCCCGAAAGTTCATAATTTATTTTATCATTAAAAAGATAGAAAATTTAAAAAAATGTTTTTGGTGTTAATTTGTAAAAAATTGTTTTCCTTAAACTTTTATTTAAAAGACAGACGACAGTAAGAACGTTACATACTTCTTGACCCCCCCCCCCCCCCCTCCCCTATGTTACATTTTGTTACAATTTTTTCAATTTTTCTGTATTCATTAAAGTTGTGAACAAAAGCCTTAAAATTCGACGTCTTATAACGTGTCAAAGCTCACAGCTAGAAGTCATTGCCATCAAACCAAGAAGTGAAGGTTCAAATCCTATTAAAAAATTGTTGCTTGATTCAAGAGGCTATTCACTTATTACTTACTTACTTTACTTCCTTGGCTAAGGCGCACGTGGGCCCATTGCCACATTCAGAGTTTGTGTAAAACTGGCTCTATCCTTAGACACCTTCTACAGATAGAGCCACTTTCACTTATTAATCGTATTAATTAAACGATCCACAACTAAAAAGACCAAAATGCCTCACAAGAAGTTGCAAAAATCCTGTTGAAAAAGTGAATCAGAAAACGGTGCCAATATGTGTACTGACATTGAAACGACTAGAATTTAATGGTAACAATTTTCTCGTGGGTATATTGTTACAATCAAGGATATTTGTTGACATTTTACAATGTTTATTGTAGTGCATCACGCATTCAAAAGTGCACACATAAGGGTCGATCATGAAGAAGCAGCATGTGAGCAATCTTCATTTCTGGTGTCGGAACCTGCGGGGAGGGTATAAATATGATTATTATTTACATTTTCTATTTTCAAATAATAAAAATATTACTTCACATGAGGAGGAATTGGCTGTTCTCAAGGGAAACATAAATTCACAAGGAATTGAATAAATATTGAGAGATGAGTAAAAAAAATTCTGTGCATTATAATAAATGAGATGCCATAAATTTCTCTATTAAGATTCAAGATTATTCAATTAATGAAAAATATTTTTTATGGATTTCTTAATTCTTTTAAATTGAACGCGATATGACGATTTATTGTGCAAAGGAACAACTTTTTTTGTGTGCTTGAGTGTAAGAAGAAGATAAGCATTCGTAACAAATCAAATTGCTATCAAAGCAATTAACAGCTATGATTTAAAAAAAAAATAACGCTATAACGAAAAGGAATTAATTTTTTGGTAATGAAAAATAACTCAAGTGCGATAAGATACGCGAGGCTAAAAAAATTATCTTTTCGAAAAGAAGTTATAATTAGAAATCAAATAATGTGCCTCGTAAAGACTCACACTTATCTCTTTTTCCAGTCAAATATTTATTATAGGTCCCAACAATTAACTTAATTTGCCAAAATAAAGCTTTGCAATGGCTTAATGGCAATAATAATAAAGATTTAATTGAATTTTTGTGATATAGACAATATATTGGAGATATTAATGGGCTTTGTTGATAACAGACTAATATGAGCTTTATTTTATTGGATGTTGTATATTTTCCTTTATTTTGAGCGGGATTTTTGGAGCACTTTAGATTAGAATAGACTCTTTGTGATCTTAAAATGTTTTTTGCACACTAGCTGCTAGTTTATAAATTCTTATTCTCCAATTATTAAATTCTAACCTCAATTATTTAAAAATGATTTGAAATTTATGAAAAAAATTAAAAATTACCTCAAATATTCAATTTTGTCAATTTTCAAATTTTTTTTTAAATTTAACCTCAAATTTTTAAAATCCTTATTTTTTTAACCTCAATTTTTTGAATTATTGCCAAAAAATTCAAAAACGTGTGACTTCAAAATATCTTTAAAATTTCAAAATAAGGTCAATAAAATCACTAAGAACACACTTCATTAATAATCTGGGAGACCTCAAATATTAATCCCAATATTTTGCAGTCAATATGGACCATCTATACCTCACCCACAATTATTTCCTTTGATCAATGCCGAAGAAAATAGAAGAAACAGATTTATGAAGTAAACAAGACGAGAGAATTTTTTTCCTTTAGCGTCGATACCGCAATGTATGAATCCATGCAATGTGTAAAAGATATGTTTTGAAAATGTCATGTATACAGGCAAGAGCGAAGCGCCAAACGCAGAAGGGAAATTATGGAAAAAAATCCTTATGGAAAATCTCACTCACTTTTTCATATCCACCAGAATGAGGAAAATAAGAGGAAGTAGAAAATAAAAAATCTGGAAACAAAACCACGCCTTTGAATCTGAAAACGTCACCAATACAATAAAAGAAAAAAAAGATTGGGTAAAATCTATTGCTGAGAGTGCTTCACCAATACAACAATAAAAATGAACAGTAGACAGAAGTGAATGAATAAATCTAACAACTGTACACAAAGCAATCCATACACGACTCAGTCTCATTCACATACACATCAAATCGAGAAGCAATCTGTTTTGCTGGATTTTCTATAGATTTTCTGGCGATTTTCTCGTTGACTTGACGTTGGAGTACTTTCTCAATATTTTTTGTTTGTGCTTTTTAGAACACAATATACTGTCAATTCGTATAGTTACGGGTTTTTGGACTCTCAGCAGAAAATTCCTATATTTTTTTCGGTATCCTTTTTTTACGTCCAAAATATATAGGCTTCCAGTGCCAAAAAAACAAGTGTACCGAAACATGAGGATTAGCATTTTCATGTGACATTATATTAGCGTAGTATTGTGATTTAATCATCAGAATCAATCGGAATCTCAAATCGTAAAGACGCATTTCCGTGCTACTCTCTGTCTTTGTTTTTCTGTGTGTGACATATGTATCTAGTGATAATATGATTTAAAATAAAATATATTAAATTGTGTAAAGTGCAAAAAAAATAAATAAAATATTAAAAATAATAAAAAGGATAAAGTAATGGAAGCATCAGAAACCTTGACGCACCTTCCATTAGATTTTAGTGTGACAATGATGAATAATATAAAAATTAAGAGTGAATTAACAAAACACGAATTAAACAATAATAATCCAAGTGTCAATATGATTTTTCAACAAAATAGTCAACAATCCTCAAGTGCGTTTAAAGTTGTTACACCGAGGAAATCCGACGGTAAGTTAGAATTTCCATTCTACATCGCATCGAGTGATCATGTTGTGTATGAACAAATTGTGGATATAGAGTTTCATAGCTAATAGAGAAACTTGATATGTGCATCAATTATGGATATGAACGATTACAACAAAATTTTTAATTGATTGGATTAATGAATTCGTTGAAAAATAGATCGAAATTGTATGTTACAAAAAAATTTCTAAGAAACACCTCGTGACAGTGATCATCCCTGACTATCTAATTGACGGAAATTTTTCTTTAAATTTGTTACCCAAATTAAGTTAATCAAAGATGATTTTCTGAAAATAAAGAGCATGTCTTGATTCGCTTAATGAATGAAGAGAGAAGTTTAATTTAAAGCTGTACATACATATATCCAGTTCAGTGATTCTCAGAAGCAAATTTAATGAATAAATCGTTTTTTATAAGGTTACGCGTCAAGTCACGATAAGATTTAGAAGATTTCATAAAGCAAAGACAATGAAAATGAAAGCGCAATGTGCTTTTGAAGACGAGCAAAAAAAAATTAAATCTGCGACTCAAGTTGTTATGTTCACATGGCAATGGAAAGACGCATGAAGCATATGTAGATGTTTCTCAATTGATTTAAATCCGTTTGAATTTTTTGTCGTTTTCATTATATTGCCGATGATGTCATCTTTGTAAGAAAGAGATAGTCATCATGTTGCTAATAAAAACTGATAACTTCAACATTGCCATATTCGATGTTTACTTAATTTAGATTAATATACATTGCCATCAGCATCGCAGATGTCTTTCTCAATTATGCTTTATATCGGTATATAACAATTTTTCTCCTCCTCCTCAACTCACTGTTTGTCGTTGCTTCAAACTTTTTTTTTATGATGATAATATGAACAAATTAAAATACAATATGTGAAACAAACCATGCTGGGCTACAAATAATTAAAAATATCATCATCAAGATTTTTTTTTGTGAATGAAAAATGTTTTCTTTTTTTGTAAAAAAATAAATAAAAATTTAAAAGGAGCTAAAAGTTTAACGAAGAATTTGTTCAAAGGGTGGGTACTCATGGGTGTTTTAAAGAAAATTTTTATAAGATTCAAAATTGATTTTTAAGGGTCTATACCCTAATTATAATTCAATCTTTCTAAGAGTATCTACAGCATAATATTGAGAAAATGATTATATTGGCTTATTTTGGGCTCGTATCTTTAATATAATATGAGGATGTTGCTAAAGTTAAAAAGTAATTAAGCTAGTATTTTAACTGATGTTTACTAGATTGTTAAGTTCCTATTGATTTAAGCTTCTATCAACTAAAAAAATGCTGAAAAAATTTAAAATATTTGTTTAAAAACTTGACATCCTCAAAATTATCCAACAGCCTTTTAAAACCTTTTGTCAACTCTTATTTAAGCTTAATGGACAAAGTTCAGAATTTTTCAATAATAATTAAAACCTTAAAAAGTAAAATTTAATCTTTTCCCCTCTTAGTCCTTTCCCAAGAATTCCCAAGAAAATCCTTGCCAAAAATTAATTCAAAATACTTGAATCAGTTTCCGGAATAACGAACATCCAACTCTCTGATTCATAAGCCTAAATTCGTTATTTTCATCTTCTTTATAATCATCTTTTATCTTCCTTCTTGAGATCAGATAAAATTAAATTTCTTCAAAAATCAGTTTGTTTATTTTGTTGCTCTCAATTGCTTTGGCATTTCATAGCGACAGTTATGACAAGTTACAGACAATAAAAAAATTGATTGACTTCAAATAATTATCTGCGATAATGATAAATAGCATGGCGCCTGGGGATGTGAGGGTTTGTATTTTTGGCATTTGATTAGATGGGTATTTGTGAGATAATAATTATTGTTGGGTTAATAAGTTTAAAGTTCCATTTATTATGGTGTTGTGACTTAACTTTTTCAAATGTTAAATGTAGGAATTTTATTCCATTTTAAACTTACAATGAGTAATTACGAATAAAGATTAGCCTAAGATTGAGTTTTGACAAGACACAACATAAATTTTAAGCTGTTCCGCAATTTTAACAATAATTTTGCAAAGTTGATCTATTAAAACCCAAGCATTTCTCACAATAATACCAACCCTTGAAAAAGGAAAAAGAAAAATATCCAAAAAATAAAATTTAAACATTTTTCATGAATCATAAAAATTAGCAAATATCAAGCTAGTGAGTGAGAAAGATTGAGTGAGTAAGAGAGCAGTGAACAAATTATTTCCGAAACATATTTAACACTTGTTCACAGATCTCGTGGAACATTTAATGATGCTACGACACCATAATGTATGTTTATATACACATCTACTTACATCTATATTGATCAACATCATATTTTAACCGGATGTTCGCCAACTAGCAATGAACTTGTTAATTAATTGAGAAGAACAAAAGTTCAATTTTTTTATCTTTAAATATCAAACAAAATTATTATTATTATTGAGTATGAATCACTCTCATTTTTAGATCTCTGATATATTTTTAGTAGCAATGTATGATTAATCAATTTGATTCTGGCAATTGCTATTGAACTATGAACCTTTTAAATCTGAGCTGTAAACTTTCTTCATTCCGCTCTTTTTTTTCGTGCGTGAGAAAAACGACATCGGATGAAAGCGAAAATTACTTGCTACATCTATCAAAAAAGATAGGCAGAATAAGAGGAAATATTTGTCAAGATACAAAGCATGAATCACTCGAGTAAATTAGAATAATAAATTGCACTCATTTAACATTCAATTTTTCGTACAAATTATAGGCACAGTGAATGGGATTTCACCGCTACTTTTTAATGCTGGCTTAGTTAGTCATTATCGCCGTTATCTTAATCCCGTAGATCCTCGAATGCTCGTAACAAATGGCACATCCACAGAACTCAATAAATCATTTTGTAAAGGTGAGAAAAAAATAACAAAAAATGTAAATAAAAAAAATCATATCGTTTATAAACTCTCTTTATAAGTTTATAAGCAGTGCTCCAAGTAATTCTATTGATTATTTAATATTTTAAAAGTCAAGCCCAATGACCCATAAAATCAATCAAGCTTTAAGTGCAATAAAAATCATTGCTTATCAATATATAAAAAACTCTTTTTTTCGATTTCACACATTAAATTGTGTATTCGATCATTTCTGATTGTAAAGATTGAATTTTTTTTTCGTTTTCTTCTTATTCGTCGTTACTGTTGACATATTAATCATACCACATACGCTTATATGTTTTCTTAGATTACTCACGATTTTAGAGGTTTTTGTTGGAGCAATCCCGATTAGAGCTAATTTATAAGTTCTGAATTAGTTTCAGTTTGTTTTTATGCAATGAATTGTTATTACATTTTGATTTGTTTTTATAGTATTTTAAAAATCTTTTCGTTGTTTCTTATAAATTAGACTTTAATCTAAGTTTCTACTATAATCTTTGAATTCGAATCACTTTAGTGTGTTTGTTGAGATTTTGTTAATTTTTACATGCCGAAACTTTAAAATTTATAAAAAATTGAAAAAATTCCAATTTTGAATTTCAAAATATTTGTACAATTAAAAAATCTTTGAATCTTGTAATTTCATTTTAATAATTTTGAAACGATGAATATTTAGGGTTTCAAGCAACTATTTGAGGAGAATCTACGTTCACGAGAGTTTGATTCTATGCAACACAATTAAATCCCTCACTTTATCGATATCGACTCATTCTTCGAAGAAAAATCTCGAATCACCAAGAACCTCTACAACATCTCGCGCGAACATTCTTTTAACTGATTTTGATCATCATATGTACATTTCCATAAAATAACATTTTCTAGTCAGCATAACACTCCAGCATCTGATTGCAATTATATTTAATTATAAATGTAAACATTTTCCCGTTCATTTCGTCACATTATGAAGTGTAAAAAATTATTATAACTAGTGATTTGTAATGTGCGTTATTGCTTGTTATATATTGAACCATATGTAATTCCATATTTCAATTATTTTTAGAGGAAAGAAAATCTAGTGAAGGAAAATGTATTTTGCTTCATTCATAAAAATCGTTGTTAAAGAGTTCTGTGAGGAAGTAATCAATTGAATCAATATATTGATGATTTCCGATCTCATTCAGTAATTAATATATAATATTTTCATGAGCGATTGGAGGTTTTTGGCACTTTGTAAGTTGTCTAAAAAAGAACTCAAATATTTTATCAGAATAATTTAGATTTTTTTTATGATATATTGGAATTGGAAAGAAATCAGAGCATATGGAAGCCATAAAATTATATAAATAATATGCGCTGTATATCTTATCCAAATATTTTTTACCACTACGATAATGAGCTTACTGATAGATATTCCAGTATTCATTCGAAATTTTCATTTCATAAAAAAATTGTTTGCATACAGAAATCATATCTAAGATGTCATAAATTATCCACAAAAAAAAAATATTGTATGACTTACATAACGGCTTTAATAGTTCTACAAATGTTTTATATTTTTGACAACATTTTTTTCGAGTTATTGCGATTAGTTTAATGCCATTGAATTTCTGGGTGCTTATTTTTGTTGGTTTTGAGTTTATTTTAGTAGATTTTAGGCTTGAAATAAGCAGTGATGTTCTAGAATCGCGATTTTACACAAAGTAAAAAATATTGGAATATTAAAATCTGATTTGCCGCTTTTCACTCATATTTTCTGAGAATAGAAGCTGTAACTTAAGAGGTTACTTAATATTGACTAATATTTGAAGAAAAAAAGTTAATTTGCATCTATTTTAGCTGATCCAGAACTTAAAAAGCTGGAAAAGTGTTCTTACTGGATCTTGAATCAGAAAAATCTCTACATTGGTGATTTAAAATAATAAAAGATGACACAAAAGGTTCATAACTCCCAAAAATGATTGAATTTTCAATTAACTTAATGTTAATGTTTCAAACAGCCCAAAAATCAACACCTTTCAAAATAACTTTTGAAAAACACTCCATTATGCATACAGGTGGTGCACATTTCTCAAAAAATAATCAAAACAAAATGCAACAACCCACTACATTTATAAAAAGAAAAAAAAAATGTCACGGCAGTCAGAATAGTAGGGCAAAAATATTCATCATTATTTCACCCAGTTGATTGAATAAAAATTCCGAAATAAAAGTAAAAGAGAGAATGAAACATAATGAACCATAAGACACCGTAAATAATCAGAATGAACAATGTTTCAACTCTAGGATTATCCCAACTGCAATCAAAAACAACATTCAATATTTATTTTTCATTCCCTTGTACCACTTTGTAAAATGAATATTATCCCTGAAATGAACAAGGAGTAAATGTATGTGTAAGTGCCTTGATAATAAAAAATAATAATTGTTGCAATAATAACAATAACAACATAGGGGTTGGAAAAAATCTCCGTGAATATTATGGATTGTGTGAAAAAACAGAGACTTAATCCACCCGAGGCTTGACAAGTGTAAAAAGTTTTGCTATATTTATATTCTTTTGGTTTTAAAAATGCTACATTACTTGGTTCACCCTTAATTTGTTTTTCCTCTTCTCCTCTTTGTTTGCCATTCTACATGCTAAAATACCCAAAATGAGAAGAAATCCTATTTAAACTTTTTCATTATTCCTACCTTCGACAGATGAAATAAAATTCGGTGTAAATCGTTTGATGGAGAAGCCAGAGTCAGAGGATGAGGATATAGGTGGAATTTATCGAGCAAAATCTCTCATTTCATGTGATTCACCTTCTAATTTAAGTGTTACACGAACAAAATCAAGATCAAGAAGTCGATCGAGGAGTCAGTCACACTCACGGAGCAGATCAAATTCATCATCATCGGAATTAGAAGTCGATTCACCGCCACCACCTAGAATTACGCATTCACCGCTAACCGACATTCCACATGTAAGAGGTTTTAATACAGAATTACAAGTGTTATGATATTTTTGATTGAGAGACTGGGTGGGGAACTGGAAGTTTTTAATCTGTAAAGTTTGACTTTGTTTGGATTTAAGGTTCTTGAGTGCGGCTTGAATCTTAAAGATTCTCTCATACCTTATTGGAAATAAAATAAGCAGAACCTTATTGATTTTTTTTTTTTTCATTTCTCACATCCCCCAAATCTTATCAATAAATGTCATAAAAATCCAATAACAAATGATTACCATCAATAATTCCATGTGTAAAAATCTTTCTCTTGACGCAACAGACGAAAAAATCAGAATCATTTTCTATGTCAGCATTACTACGTGATGATCAACCGAAAATATCAAAATCACCAGCATCTAGTAACAATTCATTCGAAAACATAAGGTTAGTTGTTGTCAATCAAATAATTCTTATATATACAGCAGAATGACTTTATTATCAATCAATTTTCGTATCTCAAAACTTCATATGTAGACCATCATATCCACATATTTATGAACAGAACGTACTATCGAGGCCTTTGTTTCATCCATTTCCATTATTTGCTATGTTGCAACAGCAAGGACAACAGCAACAGCAAAATTCATCATTACCAAGGTAAATAGATGATTGATTTTAATCTGTTCATGGACAAAAGTCATTTCTATCAATATTTCTCTCTTTATAAATGACTCATTAGTTATCATACTCCATCGCCGGAAGACATTTTAAGATTTCGTCACTTAATGCAACAGAATAACAATTCTAATCAACCATCAACGAATGCACATTTGGGTTTTTCACATCCTCACTATCCACATCATCATTTATTTATGAGATCGGGTATCATGGGATCAATAGGAGATGTCTATTCGTGTATAAAATGTGAAAAGATGTTTAGTACACCGCATGGACTTGAGGTGCATGCACGGAGATCACACAATGGAAAACGGTAAATGGGGAAAAAAGAAAATTTTATTTGTAGCATAAATCAAGCTTTCTTCATTCGATGTTTTACTTATTTTGACTTTATTCCTTCTTTCATGCTCTTCATATCATCTGTGCTCCTCGTCAATTCATGTTTGCAGACCGTAAGTAATAAATTGAAATAATTTAAAATTTAAAGCACTGGTCAGAAAATGCTCAACTGCTTATCTGCGTTTTTTTCTGGCTAAAGCTTTAAGCATGTGTGTTGCATGAAACTTAACGATTCCGTTTCTCCTCAGTTATGCTTGTGAGCTCTGCAACAAAACCTTTGGTCATGAAATCAGCTTAAGTCAGCACAGGTGTGTATAACAATTGCAATTTGCAGAGCTACACAGACATAAATTGTTATTTATAAATTCTTAATCCTCTGTGTATGCTGTGCATGTAATTTTTTCTAATACTAAAGATCTTTTAATTATGTTACAGAGCTGTACATAATGTCGAGAAAGTTTTCGAATGTAAGCAATGTGGAAAGGCATTCAAGAGATCTAGCACTTTATCGACACACCTACTAATACATAGTGACACACGACCATATCCCTGCCAATTTTGCGGTAAGTTTGCAGCTTTAGTTGTAGTTGAGAATTTTTTGGTGATTCGGATCGAATTAGGAATTAAAATTAGGTTAAGTCTCTTTATTGGATCTAAACTTATCGAACATGGCCAAGGAAGGTTTAAAAATTTAAACATGATTGAAAGTCTTCCTCTAGATATTGACCTTTATTTGTGACAATAATTTAAATTAGAATCAAAAGTTGTTATTTCCTTGGACTTAGACAAATCACATAAAATATTAAAATTAGTTCTAAACTCCTGCAAAGTTCCTAATCCACCAAACTTTAAACCATTTCATGAGAAAAATCAATTAAATTATTTAATTTCTCATCCTTTTAACCCTTACAGGTAAACGCTTTCATCAAAAATCAGACATGAAGAAACACACATACATCCATACGGGTATGTATCGTCGTAATTAAATTTTATTTACAATTTTAATAAATTGCTATTTAATCTCACTTATATACGATATAAATTTCTTCTGCAAAACTCCATATAAGAGCTTCAATGAGCGCCTTTGTTCGCAATAATCAAGAAACCAATTAAAATCAATCTTGTCGACGTGTAAATATTTATTACGCCCCTATTTTCATTTAAACATTTTCTTTTCCCTCTGCTACTTCTAGCATTATCGTTTTGTTAAAAATTCTTCACTTGCCAGGATTTTTTTTTTATTTTATTTTATTTTAAAGGAAATTTATTCGAGTTTTATAAGCAATGGAATGATGATATAGAGTAAGGAGAGTCAAGAAGAAGGGTTGAGTAGAGAAAATTTTCTAATTTATAATGAGAAGAAATAAATTACATGATTTAAAATTTTTTAACACTAATTTGAAAATTTTCTCCTCTCTTGCTGCTTGTTATCATCATCATCATCCAACATCCAGCACCCCTTTAAAATTCTCCTTCTATATTGAAATTTTCTTTTTTTGAAACTTAGCTTCGGAAAATTAAATGCGAAAATAATGAATTCTTGCTTCCTTTTCACTATCAAGCTACAGCTGACTTTTTTTTTGTGAGATGTGTCGAGAATAAAAACTGATTCACTTGATTTATGACTATTAATTGAGAAAATATTTTCCATTATTTTGTAGAATTAAAATTTTGCTTCTTTAAGAGATTAGATTTCATTTATTGCTAGCTGCTATAGCTAGATGTTGGAAATAGTTTTTATATATAGGAATGTGGGTTTGTCATGGAGTGATTTGGATATGCTGAATTATTTAAAATAAAATTAGAGCTGCTATTTAGTTGCAATTTTCATTCACGTCATGAAAAACTTAAGTTTTTAATATTGTCAGATCTTGAAGAACTAGCAGCAATTAAAAACTTTTATGAACAAGAAAAATTCGTAAAAAATCATCAAGAACGAATTTTTTTGCCAGTAGTTTTAATTGAATTTTGAGCTCTCGTAAGTGGTCTTTTGATGTTAAACTTAAATCCACTTATTAAGTTACTTAGCCTTCAGAATCTTTTATAAAATGGCATTTGCTATAAAACAGAAAGAGTACTTTGATTTGGAATTAAAAGCCTCACTGTACACATAAGTACACATATCTCTGCCTGCCTGAGATTGCAAAGCATACACATGTCAATTTATGTGACTCACATACACATGAATGCTATAACAAAAATATTGTGTATTAATATATCTTGATTATTGTATGATGATAAACATAATAAATAAAATAAATTCTTTTTCTTTTTTTTTTGACTTTATGAAATATGTCGAGGCTATTTTGACTTGAAATGCAAATAACAAAGTTGAATGGAGCATTAAATTTTCGAAAACATATGTGCTTGTTTGATTTAATTATTCAAACTTGAAAAAAAAGAAGCTAAAAATGTGTTTATAAATCCACTCTTAGTTGTGCTGTACATATGAGTTGACATACCTATAAAATATTTTTATGAAAAATTCTGAGTTGGGAAATTTGTTGAGGAAACATTCTTTTGATGAGCATTTTTGGGTTCGAGATGCTCAAACCAGAAATTTATATTTGAGTATTCTCAAAAAACTTTTTGACAATTTTTTGGAATTTTTGAGAGGGGTGTGTGACTTTTTTGATTTGACAAAATTTTAAGAATTAGTAACACTCCCCTATCAAAAATTATAAACATTTGTCAAAATTTTTTTTGAAAACACAGTTCCTTGCTTCTCTTATAACTTAATAAATTAGTCAAAACACCCTTATAAAAAAACGTTACAATTTTTTTTAAAAAAACTGAGAGGGGTAAGTGACTGACTTTGAACAATTGAACATGAATTTTGTTACGAATTTATAATAGTCAAAAAAATCAATTCTCTCAAAATAAATAAATAAATAAAAAAGTCACACACCCCTCTCAAAAATTTTAAAACTTTGTTCATAAATGACGTCCAAAATTAATAAGGGGTTATTGATCATACAAAACTATTAAAAGTTATTAATTCGCGAATATTTTGAATTTCTTAAAAATGTTAAAATCACAAATTAAAAAATTTAACGGAAATAAGTTGCAAACTAGAAGAAAAAATTTCATCAGATTTCTCTTGAAGACTATGAACCTTAAACATCTCATAGATAATAAAGCAAGCAGACGCCATGAAAAACGAATAAAGTGAGAAAATCAAACCATATGTTCCAGTAACTGCTTCTTAAATGTTTGTTCATCATATAATATTAACTCGAATGACATTATGATTTTGTCTCATTCACAATCACGTTTTTATTATATTTTATACATCCAACAGCACACAAAGTTGCGATCGGATTTTATTCGCCTTCTCTCTTTGCCTTAATAATTACGTATACAATTTCATCTATAATTATTATTTTCTATAAGTCATATACAACACATAAATTGTATAATTTGTGCTAAATACTTTCCATTGAAAAGGGAAAGAAAAAAATTTAATTTATAATAATTGAACTTTGACAAATGTTTATCTTCTCGACAATCTGGGTGTAAAAATTTTCTGAATAATGTTTATGCATATTATGGGATATAACTTCCCCATGAGAGTTGCATGATTAAATGAAATGCTCAAAGCAATATTGCACGCTATTTAGACGCCGTATGTAATTATAAAAGCGGCATTTCCTTACGGTTATATTCACATTCCAACCTACTCGCCTCTGAGTTTGCACAAAAAATATATATTTATAAATTTGTTTTTTTTAAATCTAAAACTTCCTCAAAATTGATTTTTTTTGGGGGGGTTGAAAGTGAGAGTTGTTGCTATTCTTGAACAATCAATACCGCAACTAATGTAAACATAGAAAATCACATAGAAAATGTGTAAATTTATTCATCCTAAACTAACATGATTCTTACTCTTATTTACAGGTGAGAAACCCCATAAATGCCAGGTCTGTGGAAAGTCATTTAGCCAATCAAGTAATTTGATTACGCACAGCCGTAAACATACAGGTAAATAAAATAATTTTACAAAATTTTGCTATTTTGGAAATTGAAGAATGAGCGAATGATTAATTCCTAGTTGTCCCTTTAACAGGTTTCAAACCATTCAGTTGCGTAAGTATTTTAAAACTATACCTTAAAAATTTATTGCAAATCTAACAGCTATAATGCTTTGTTCCATACAGGATTTATGTCATAAATCATTTCAACGAAAAGTTGATTTACGTCGACACAAGGAAACACAACACACAGAACTTAGGCCACTTGTTAATTGAATGGGAAAATTTTCAATTTATATACAATTCTAATTCCACACTCACTATCTCTCTGCATATACATTTATTCGATGCTGCTGCTGCTGCTTTATGTCATTCCACAATGAACAATCAAAAAACAAAAATGATGACGACTTTTTTTTTAAGTTTCTTAAACAAATTTTATGGAATTCCTTTTACACTATGAACTATAGTAAATATGATACTCAGAAAATATGCATGAAAAATTAGGAATAACATTTTTTGAAATTTTTAATAAGACACACACGTTGATGTAGATAGTAAAAAATTTATGAATCAATTTTTATTTGATATTTTTTTTTTTTTGAAAAAAAAAATTGTGCAATTCCTTTATTATTTTTTAGAGGTAAATATTTTTATTTTTTGTTGAAACTGGGGGTGTTGGGTGTGATGGATTTTGAGTTTTTGGAAAGTTCTGGTTTAAGTTCTCTAGAAAATCGAGCGAATGATTAGTATTAGTGGATGAGATCAGTTCAATGTTCATATGTTTAAATCAAAAATCTCGTCAATGAACGACCTTAAACGCTCCCCTATGAAAGCTAAACTCCTCAACCCTAGTTGATCTATGATTTAATCACAAATCTATAAATTCCAAATTTTTTCAAAATTTTCACACCTAACCTCCCTCAAAAAAATTATATCTTCCTTTTAACTCTTTTAATTACTTTCGCTTAAATGTCGGCTGAGTGCAAAATCAATCATAGAAATTTAAATTCTCTTCAAAAGAATCTTTAAGATTTAATTTTGAAAAATGAAGAAAGAAAAAAAAATTATCGATGTTTTCAATAAAATTGCCAATAAAATGCAAATAAAATTTATTCAGTGACATGTAATGATCAAGTTCTATTCTTAAAATTAGAAGAAATATTAAATTGAAAAGATTTTAATCACATAAATGAAGATTTTATTGCCCATTAATTGTACATAACTAAAGAAATCATTAATGTGTAAAATACAACATGCAAAAAACGCTATTTCTGATAAAGAATTTTTTGATTAATTGTTAACTTTGTTCAATTGAATATCATCAGACACATAAATTTTCATACAGTATAATTAGAATTGGACTCATTGCATGCTACTGAAACAAAAAAAAAGAAATAAATTTAAAATGTTCGATAGCTTCGATGGTTTTCATTTGGGTGGGTTTGTTTAAAGTTTTGGACTGCGGGTAAGGTTGGGTTTTGACGATAAACTTTCAAATTAATAATTGAGATCTGATATGAAATCTTGAGAATCGAATCATGTGTTTACGAGTCTGTCAGGACTAGGAAAAGATCTAAGTGACCAAATGGATTGGCTAAAGATAACAAATGCAAACATATTGCTTCGAATCCCACCAGAGATAAATAACTATCAAGAATATAATCATATCTTTTTAAAAACTAGGTTTTTGGCACTATAAGATCCCGATTTCAAATATCCAAACTATCGACTAAGAATAAAGAGCAAATCAAGAATATTACAGATTTTAGAGGTTTAAAACAACCAGTCAGTTCAGAATTTTAAGTAGAAACATCCAATTGAAAAAAATGCATTAAAAATAAATAAAAGAGATGTTTTAACTTTCATGCATAAAATAAATAGTAAGAAGAAGATTTTTTTTAAAAAAATTGCATATTGGTGTACATAAAATTGCTAGAAAATTATTTACAATTAAAGTAAATACTAAAAGAAAATTCAATATGATCCTACCTATATCTTTAAATATATATATATATATTCTAGAAAATAATTGAATAATTAATTAATATTAAATAGATAACATATCTTGTATGTATATGTATTACAATTTGAACAAAAAACAGAATAAGAGAAAGAAAATTAACAAATAGAATCATTATTACAAAACAACATAAAATGAAATTTCAATTTTCACCTTTCACTATCCACGTTGAAAATGGAAGAGAAAAAAAAAACAAAAACCATTGTAAAGATAATTAAATATTTAAATTTTTTCAGAATAACCAAAAACACACACAAAAAATGCACATTCGTGATCAGAATAATAGTACTCTAGCTAGTATGAAATATCAGAGGAATCATTTTCCATAAAACATAAAAAAATAATTTTGGCTTTACTTTGCGCACTATGTTTAGAGTTGATATATATCCAGACTCATACAAGCTCACACATAAAATTTATATAAATATATATTCAGATAAAATTCTCAATGGATTGTTAAATTAATTATAAATTTTATTTTATATAGCTGTGTGCTTTTTTTTCAATATGGAGTGCTCTATATAAAAAAATATAAAACTGTTATTCTGCAACGTCCGTAGAGCTTCATGGCAAAATAGCAAAATTAAATTATTTTGAGAGTAATTTTACCTATGATGATACGGTATTTTATGGAGATTTTGTTGGGGATTTGTTGAAAATGGAATTGTTTATTCTCTACGCGATGAACGCGAGTCAACATAAAGGTTAATGATATTAAAATTAATTAAAATCATCTGAAATTAGGTTTGATACAGGGCAAACCTTTCTCTATCTCATCGTTGATTATTTATATAGTTTGTATTATTTTTTTATAGCAATTATCGCTAGGTGTCTATTTTTATGTTTATAGATTTCGAAATAGTTTTTGAGCTAATTAGTTTTGAGAGCATTTTATATGGGACTTTTTGGGAATTTTAATTGCAGCTTTTTCATAGTGTGCTTATTTTTGATAATATTGAATAATTTTAATTCATTATACCCCCCCCCCCCCCTCCCCCTCTTATATGGAGGTCCCTCAGTGTTCAAGTCGAGACAATTAAATCCAAAGAGGAATTGAACTTAAACCCCGCCAAAAACATGCTTAACACCATTGCTTGTCAAATAAAATGTCAAATCAGTAATCATGGTCCTTGCTTCACTCTGGATATAACCTTACGACTGTTCAATTAACATTATTGAATCGGGTCAAGCTTAAACAAACCTATTCAAAACTCCATAAAAAAAGCCCCATAACCTTGCTAAGCAACCACAATAAAGTCCACTTTCCAATACCTTCCCCGTTAAAGCTTAAAACTCTACAGGTACTGTATGATTTTATTTTTTATTTGCTTAACAATTTGAGTGCTTGTTATTTGTTTTATGATTTCTTCCTTTCACGATTATCATAAATTTCCGAAAAACAGAAAACAAAACATTAATACTTCCTACTTATCTAAATGGAAGTGAAGGCGCATATAGCAAGAGATTAAAGAGCGACTATATCCACAGCAATTAAAGTATATACTTTGTTTTTAACGGGCACACCCAGATTTTATTTATAATTGAGGGAATCATGAGAGATATTTATATGGAAAATGAACCTTATTAAATGTGACGCTAAAGTCATTAGCAATTCACTCCACGAAATATTACTGCATTTAAATAATGTGCCTCATGTGTCAGTCAACCTCACACTTCATATCACTGTGCTTCAATTTCCACGAGAATTTTTTTTTTATTTTGTTGGATATAAAAATGAAAATAACAACAAGCGAGCAGTTATCAACTTGAATTGACTCGAAAATGAATTTGTAGTGGAAATTAATGCATTAAATTAGATGTTAATTTAGAAAGTTTTCGGTTTAATTTCTCCTTTTTATATCCATTCATACATTGTATTATATTTTATTTCATTTAATGGATACATGCACGCTATTTCAAACGACATATGTGAATACATTCATGAATATAAGAGGACGTAAATTGGTCAAAATAAATCAACTTAATTTGTTCCTCCTGCTAAATATGTGTTGAAAAATTCGATACTGATACCGACTTAGTCATTATTTAATTAAGTACGATGAATTTTTCATTACAGTCTTTAGGAGACTGAGAAGTTATTAGAAAGATTCTTTTTTTGCGAATCTGTGGAGAATTCTTTGAAAATTGCTTTAATTTTAGGGGTTTTAAAGTGAATTTTCTAGAACTTTGCAATGAAGTGACTGTTCTGTGCCTCATGTCGAAAATGCTCTATTTCAGTGGAGTTAGAGATCAATTCTGTTGGGAATCGAACTCAAATCTTTACAAAATTGCTTGCAAATTTCCAGTTGCATTGCATAAGCACAAAGTCACTGAAACCAACTGTAGAATTGGTCGATTTGCCTACATTTGGCTTAAAATCGTAGATTTAGACACAACTTATAAATAGTTCAATATATTTGTAATTCACAGTTAAAAATGCACTAATTTACAGCACAGCATATCAAAAATATTCCGAATATTGAGAATCGCTAGTTTAAAAAAATCCTCACTCTCAAGTGAATTAAATTTATCTTCTTTCATTGCCATTCTATCTTCCTCAACATCATCCCTAAATACACTGCCTGTAATCGGAGAGGCAAAAAAAAGAAGAAGTTCAATTGAATTTCAATTGATTTTTAATTCCCAGTGCAAAGTGTAAGCCCCTATTTATATGTGTAAGTAAATTATTATCCATAACAAGAATAAGATCCTTCCCCTCGCAATGTAACTCACTTTAATTGTTATTATTGCACAAGTGAAGTAAATGGTGCAGAGCGGAAAGAATAAACAAAACATTTTGTCGTTTTGTTATTTTAAGACTTGCAAAGAGTTTGTTTTTTATTCGGTTCCTGAAAAGAAAACACAAAAATCTGTCGTAAAAAAATGCGTCAATTCCGCACCTGTTTTGATCATTCGATAAAATTAATGAGAAACTTTCTTGCTATTTGGGTTTGGAAAAGAATCATCTGCTATGAAATTGAATATAAATAAATAATTAAGTTATAATACGAAAATCATTTTCTTTTTTTTTTTGTTCCAACACATCCTTCAGATTTGTTAATTTTTGTCAAATTCGTCACAAAACATTGCAAAAACATAAAGGAATTGAGTGAAAAATGAATGTAAAGTGAACGCAAGCGTGAAATGATAGGGGTTGTTACAATTCACACTCATATCATCATCGTCATCATTTCGGATCCCTCAAAATCTTAATTTCTACGCAATATGTGTGATTGCTGCTTTTATTTTCGTATTCATGGTGCACACTAAGAGTTTTGTGAAAAAGGGTGATTTTTATTTTATTATCAAATTTTATTCGCTTGCTCTTTCATATGCTGCACTGTGAAATTACGTTTAAATAAATATTCAATTTTTATTTGATTCTTCACGCAATTTGTTTGTCTTACTGGATGTTGATTTAATTTTTTTGGATTATTTTTTTTAATCTTAAAATGTCCAATGCTAATGGATTTAAGAATGAAATCAAGAGAATGATGAATAAAAAGTTTTAAAATCAAAGTTTTGTTTTAAAACCTTGAAAATCGCGCTAAAATCTTAAAAAATCAAAAATTGCGCCAAAATTTTAAAATCCTAAATAACCTCAAAACAAATTTTACAGACCCCTCCAAACTTAAATTGCATTTCATCTCAAAAACTAGGCCATATCTATTCACGAATTAAACAAAATATTTCAATTTCCAAATTAAACATTAAAAACATTTTTGAAGAAGAGCAGATTCAAAATTCTAAATTGCTCATTTCATGCCAGACACATAGGAAAGTTAATAAAAATAGGGGTGCGTCGCACTTATAATAATCATAAGTAAGAGATAATTTCAAAATTGCTCTTCCTTCATCGAGTCTAAATTATATAAACTACCCTCAGCCTCAAATACATTATTTGACTTATAAGTGCTAATGCCATAAAAATTATTTCGAGGGTTTAATCTCAGTAGGTGGCATGATTTTTATTTCTGAACAATAGTCATGAGTTATTATCACAACAGAGATACTTACTTCTATATGCATGCCTTAGAATAAATTTATTGCTCATATTAATTTTTCCGTCACCTTCAACTGACTTTTTTTTGGAATCATCACGAATTTTTCATATTTTGATTTGACTTTATTTACAATTCGGAGATTTAGAATATTATGAGGAAATTATAATGAGTTATGTTTGAGATTGAATAGTTGTGATTAAAGTGTAACATATGCTTGATCCAATTCCTATGAAAATTCAAAATC